TCGTGAATGTTCACCCAGGCACCATCGTTTGCTCTGACTCCTTCGTGGTATCTATTCTTGATGTATTTGTCCTTCACCCACTTCTTCCCGGAGTTGTACCTCAAAGTCATGATCGACTTCCCGGACACCTTTGTCACATATGTCCCCCATGGTGAGCGCTTGTTGATGAGGATGCTCGGGTCGAACTCTGGGGGGCCATCCTTCCTTGTTGACCAGGTAGCGTCAGCAAATCTTATACCATGTTGTGGGATCACGTCCAAGTATCCGCAGGGACACCTTGGGTCGATCTGCATGTACGCCTCCTTGTGTTCTTGTGAGGGATCATTTGCTATCTTGTCAATGTCTGGCAGTTGAGGGGATCTGAACGCTGCCGAACCCAAGATGTTGTCCAATTCCCTTCTGTCTTTGGGACCTGTCTCATCAAAAGGAATGCCATTCACCCTGTGCTCACCGCCATCAAGTAGATCACTCACATCAGACAAATACTCAGGCTTAGTATGAGGCGCGTAGGCTTTGAGCATCCTCTCCACTGCTCTCTCATAGGCAAATTCCATTTCTGCCTCAGTTTCGACCTTTTGGTCAGTCCTCTTTGATGGTCTTGATCCTTGAGAATCATCAGTCGACGGTCTCTGTCTCCGTGATTGTTTTGGCGATGGACTGTCGCGTGTCTGTTCCCCAGGGATGGTCTTCAAGTCATACCACTCCTCTTGGGTAGCAGTCATATCTGGGTCCCCAATGAGCGCCGCATATTCTTTGTCTCCTTCGGTCACTTGGTTCACCAGGGTGGCATCCATGTGCTCAATTGCATCGATGATTTTCTTCTTTTCTTCATCAAATGCCTCGACACGACATTCTCTCCAATGATGATCTCCACCTCCACAGACGAAGCGCGCCACACAAGTGGATTCAGTCCTGTGGATAAACCTCCTGAGGTTCATGAGCGTCTTCATGAAGCTTGACGGCTTGGGTAGAGGCTTGCTCTCTCGGTAGAGGGTCTCGTTTATCTCCCAAGGCTCAGTCGTAGCAATAGAGAATGTCCTCTTGAGGTCCCTCGTCCTTCTCAATTGCGGTCGTTCTTCTGGAAGATCGCTTGGGACTCGCCCCCATGGCATTGTCATCGGTCTCCTCATCTGGAACGGTGACCGACGGTCCACCTCCTTCTTTCTTCTCGTCTTCCTTCCGTTGGGGCTGTCCTTCTTCCTCCATAACCACATCCTCATATTGATTCTCATCTGTCTTCTCCTTTTGCTCATCGTCGTGATCCTGCACATCGGCGTCCCCAATAACCTGAGTCGCTCGTGATGACCTGCAAAATGGTTGAAGCCCAATGGTTGAATATACCGTTTTCGAAGGGCCTCGCTATACAGTTCCTCCTCTTTTGCGATCTCTAATCCTGGGGAATTGTTCCTCTTCCTGTTGACTGTCAGGTTATGCCTGGTGCTCCCATAGAAGTGCAAGAATGACAGCTCCAAACCTCTTCGACAATCATCAAGGTTCTCCAATTCGGGAAAAAAATTCTCCTGGAATACTGATCCCAATTCGAGGAACTCTGTCAGGTCCCCAGCAATCTCCACGTTGGCTACCTTCCTCCCACCTATGAGATTGAAGACAAGTGCATACTCCTCCTGCGTGAGCACATACTTGACATAGTCGTGGTAGACGACGTTCCCATAGTACGCGCATGATCTGAAGTCTACTCTCCTGCAGTTGACAGGTCGTATTCGCGATGTACATATAGATAACCAGCCTTCTTCTCCTTCACGCCCATTGGTTTTCTTCAATTTTGTTCACTTTTTCATTGTTTTCCATCGGTTCCCTTGTTTTTGTTTTCCTTCATTTTCCAATTTTTTCCTTGTTTCCCATTGGTTTTCTTTGTTTTTCCATGCGTTTTTCTTCATTGTCTTCACTTTTCCCTTGTTCTCCATTGGTTTGACAAAATACCCTTCCTTTTATCGCCAAGCGACGCAACCTGCGAAGATTCAGCCTTTGCTGGGACCTGGATTGAAAGAAATCAGCCACGAATCAGCACGTGATCCACCTGAAGAATTAGGCGCCTGTACTTCGAACGGTCTCCGTGCTAGGCACCCTGCCATCCTATTGGAGAAAATTTACAGTACCCCAGCATAGACCCCAAACCGCCGGCCTCTTTCGTCCTAATTGGGCTTTGTGCTTGTGCCTCAACGGGAGTCACGCAGGAAAAATCGAAGGACTGGACCATGAACAATGCGGCAACCGATTGGAGCGGCCTGCGCAACCTTTCGCCTCTTTGACACCTCCGTTGCCTGCGCGTTCGGATGCAAAGTACTGACGTCGTGACATTGGAACGCTGCACCTGCGCAATAAAATCGCCCGTCACGCTTGCAAAGTGTCCACGCCATTTGACATGAATCTGTCTTCCAAGAGCTTCCTGCAACAGGAGGGTTTGATCGACGAGCGTAGAGTCCCGCGACGACTGGCGATGGCGCAACACAAGAGAGGCCAGCACAGCTCCAGCCCCCAACCCCCAGGCTATTAAACGGGAACCCTTCACTACGCTTTCGGGGAAAAACACGATCTGTGCAGAAGGAACGTTAGGAACGAAAGCATGCAGTTTGCAAACGAGTGGCTGATTTTTCGACAGTTCCAACTTCACCTGTTGGGCAGAAGATGAATGAAGAATGAGAATCCAGGTCTTGTAGCGTGGCACTTGTTCCTAGTAGTAAGGCACTTGTTAGTACTAGCTTCTTGTTCCTAGTAGTAAGGCACCTGTTACTACTAGCGTGGCACTTGTTGCTACCTAAGCTAAGTATGTATGAATGAGGATAGTCTCTTATGTTCTTCTTTCTTCTGCAGAGGACCCTTCCATTTTCTTCCTTCCGAACGTCATGTCGATCAAATGCGGCATTGCCCAATCTGCAGACGAAAGAATGGGGCAGTGATCGGGTTTATGTGCGACTGAGCCTGCAAGAGTTCTGTGTTCATGCTATCGACCAAAATATCTTCATCATACTCCATCGCGGATTCCGTCTCCTCTCAGGCAACTTCCAAATGACTGACGCAAAAAAAAGTCACTGCCTCCAACCTAATAGCGATGGCCTCCAACCTAAGAGCGACGGCCTCCAATCTAATAGCAAAAGAATTGTCACTGACGGTCACTGTGCTCAGGCTGTGTTTGGCCTGACAAAGATCTTCGCCAGTTGCACCCCATAGGTGCCACGCGGAAAGGAAGAAAAGAAATCTCATTGAAAACCTAGCGAAAAGAAAGTGCATCTTCTCGTTTTAACATAAATTGCATGACGCAAAGAAGCTTTTGCACGCCAGGCCACTATCGTCCAGCCAGGTTGTGAGGTTGCAACCAGAACTTTGAGCCGAAAAAAGGTTTGAAAGCCTTGAAAGAGGTTACTGGTAGCGCTAGTAGCTTCCTGTTACTAGTAGCGATGGCCTCCAAGCTAAGAGCGATGACCTCCAACCTAGTAGCTTCTTGTTACTATTGATGTATTCAAGACTGGCGCAATGGAACACTCTCCGCATCCAGACAGGCAGAAACAACTTGCAGTTTTGCTGAAGAAGAACAACAAGTTTTGCGTGCAAGTTTCTCAAACATACAACCAGTTTTGGCAAAAGGTTTTAAACAGCGCGCTCCACAAAAAAGAGCGCGCGCGCAATCTCTTCGATGAAAGAAAAAACATCAAACTTTTGGAGAACATGCATCGTAGGCACGGCTCAAAACCTTCCTATGTTTTCGTCCTTCTTCACTTGATCATAGTCTCGAGTGTGAGCCCAGCACAGTGGGCTTGTATGCCCAATGGCACAAATATGTACGCCTATCACCAAATCAATCCACTCTAGCAGTTGCAGCAATCGGATGACCAACCGCCAAGGGCCTGTCTTGCGATTTGCCACTGAAGCAATAAAAGGGCGTCCATTGCAATAACTTGATCCTAATCGTGTTGCAAATCGATCTCGCTCTAAACGCGTGTGACGAAACGTCATTCTATGGCTTTTGCAACTTCAACACCCTTTGAAGTCAAGGTGGAGTGCACTTCTCTGTGCATCATTTTGTCCTTCATATTTGTTCCTTGGCGACTGCTGGTGTCGCAGGTGGTCTCAAATCCATCGTTTCTCCACGCGTGTACGAGGAACCTTCGAGCCGTACTCTTCGCTTCATGGAGCCCAGGTCGCGAACCGCCTGAAAGAGTTTCTAATTAAACTTAGTTCTAGCTTCTAGTAGGTTCTTGTTACTACTAGCAAGGCACTTGTTACTAGTAGCGTGGCACTTGTTACTAGTAGCTTCTTGTTACTAGTAAGGCACTTGTTACTAGAAGCGATGCACTTGTTCCTAGTAGCAGTTTGCGAATAGCGAGCAAAGGCCTCCAACCGAATTGCGAATAGCGTCTGATCGCTCCGTTCGTAGCGTCCGATCGCTCCTAATAGCAAAGGCCTCCAATCTAATAGATCCTAGCGATGAATAATGGACACGATGCCCATCTGCGTAGGAATTTTGCGTAATTACCGTTGCGTACTGAAATGAATCACACGAGCCAAGAATCGCGTTTTTGTGGCAATTTTTCTGACCACTACGCTGCTACGCTGCTACACGCTGCTAAACGTTTCGTATCGTTCTGACCGATTGCCCCATCTCAAGATCCACTTACCCCGTCTCGTCTGTCGCATTTGTCATGGTGTGTTGTCAAGTATCATCTATTTATTGTTGGTGTGGCGATATTTGGCGTTGCCTCTGTTTGCGCGCGCACGCTTTGGAATCAGTAACGAGGACCTTCTCTGGGATAAACTGGTTACCTGTCGTTCCTGTTGTTTGCCTTCGTGCTTCATGTCGACTTGTAACGATAGAGTGGACTTGGCCGGAGGCGCTCTTTGGTGAATCACTCCAATGTTTTGGAGTCTGTGGCACAACGCTGTTACCTGAATCCTGAGGCTTCTATCGTTGAGGCTGCAAATGCAGTTATAAAATATTAGCGTTCGACGCTACTAGGGGCTCCTGGCCTTACTACTAGGGCTATGTTCGCTACTAGGAGCGGAGATTTCCATCTTTTTGCATCGCTGTCCAACTGAGTCAGGTCGTGGAGTTCTCGACAATTTCACCTTTGGATCCAGAAATTCCTCCAGATCGCCATTGCATGTAGCCTCAACAGTTTCAAGTATTGCCAAACTTTTGATATAGCTTCTTGTCACTACTAGTAAGGCACTTGTTCCTAGTAGCGATGCACTTGTTCCTAGTAGCGAACCTTGTTAATTGCCAGTTTCAAGTCAAGTTGCCTTCTCTCCATTTGATGTACTTCTCGTATTGGCCCTGTTGCTTAAGACCTCGCTCGTGGCCCCACTCCCCAGCTGTCCCCAGCTGTCCCAAGCGAAGACCCGAACTGTTCCCTCTTTCGGCTCCCTAAGAGCCAAGTGGCGTTCAGTGAGGTCTGGTAGTGCAGGAAACGCTTGAGACATAGCGCTGACATTCCGCTCCAACTCTTTACGTTTTGGAGAGTCAGAGATGCCAGTCCCGTCTGGAGAGTGTGACGCAGAAGAGACGATGCGCACAGAGAGGGCCAGGCAACGCCCAGCATCTCCCAGCAACGCCATCAAAGCGTGACCAGCGCTGAGAGACAAGACCTCGACACTTGAAAACATGGAGGAAGTCTCCAACATAAGGATTAGCAGCTAGCAATGGCCTCCAATGCAAAATTGTCTGAAAAAGATGTGAGTGACCCTTCTGCAGCTGCTTCAGGCAAAACAAAAACTGAGAAAGCTGGACCACGACACAACTGGACCCAACTTGACGAAGGAAACCAAGCGGCTTCTGCCGCCAACTCCCCGCGGCCCTGAGAAACGCGACAGCTTAAGGCAGCCAATAACCCCTGCCGCGAGGTGCGCAGCCGTGCCTCCCGCATCACAGAGCAGATTTCGAGCAAAATGAATCTTCAACCTAGCAATTCTTTCCAATCTACTAGCGATGAATATGGAGTAAACTTGGTGTCGCCCAAACACACTTCAAGGTGAGTCCCAGCAACCGTGCCACATGGCAAAGCATTTTCCTTTAAACATGATGCCGTCAATCCAAATAACATGTTTTCCGATGCCCTCAAAGAGAGTATAAGCCAATGATTCCAATGATTCAGAGCTATCAATATTGTTTGTAGGATCGCTTGCGTTTGTTGCGCGCAAGGTGGAAAACCACACCTACATCACAAGTGTTGAGCGCTTGCACTGTGCTGGCGACGAACAATCACTCAGTTCACTTTGCTGAGCAGAGTTGTTCAGCGCGTGCGTATGTGTGCGTGCTCTCGTGCACTTGCGCACTCACACTTCCCAGATGGGCGGAAAGGCCATCGGCGAAGCACTTGTTCCTAGTAGCGTGGCACTTGTTTCTAATAGCTTCCTTGTTACTACTAGTAAGGCACTTGTTAC